CAGGGAGGGTTGCTGGCGCGCATGGGGCCGGGCGGGTGCCTTACCTCCCTTGGGCTGGGCCAGCTGGTGGCCCAGCCAGTGGTCGGCCTGCGCCGTTTCTGCCGCTTGTCAGCTACACCTCGGCCGGCGCAGGGGGCGGCACCACGCATGCGCGGTGCTCCCGGGCAGGGAAAGTCCTCGACTTACAACCGGTTGGGTAGTCCTCGATTTACGACCGGTTGGGTAGTCCTTGACTTACGACCGGTTGGGGGTCACGGCATTAAAAAGGTTGAGAACCACTGGTTTAAGCCCTGCATCTTCAAGGGACTCTCTCTGCGCTCCTGAGCAGAGAAACTCCTCGACTTACGACCAGTTGGGTAGTCCTCGACTTATGGCTGGTTGGGTAGTCCTCGACTTATGACCAGTTGGGTAGTCCTTGACTTACGACCGGTTGGGTAGTCCTCAACTTACGACCGGTTGGGGATCGCGGCATTAAAAAGGTTGAGAACCACTGCTCTAGAGACAGACTGGAACAATTCGGAGACCTGTAACAAAGATTATTAAAAAACTGAAAACAAATTCCCATCTTGACTCAAGAATGGGGAGGTGGCTTATAGGTTTTCTGGAATTCTGGGAGTTGAAATTCACATGGCTTAAAGTTGGCAAGCCTGAGGAACTTTTTCCTCCCTGTCCCCATCTAAGGGTCTTAAATCCAGTTGTTTTGTGAAGCAGCTTTTGCAGTTGAGGGTTTGACCCAAAGAGGGCACCACAGGATTGACCTTGGCTGTCCTGCAAAGCTAAGTAGGATCTTGTGAGGATGCTATTTGGACGGGAGGCCTAAAGAAGAGTAGGACTGTGGCACCGAGTGGAGATTTGAGAAAAGGTTTCAGTTTCCACTGGATTTTTAGCTTATTTTAGCAGGATGCAGTTGGAAGAACTGCAGGCTGAGAAAGGTGAGAGGGGAACTGCTCTCTTAGATCTATCTTCAAAGAATTCTTTGAGGCAGATGAGCTAAATGTGAGCAGGTATTTATAATTCTTTTTGTCAGTTTTTTTCCCCAGTTATCTAAAATATACTATTTTAAGGTACTGCTCTAAGTTAACCATAGGTAGTCCTCAGCATGGCTGTTCAGTGACTGTTCCAATTTACAAGGGCACTGAAAGAAATGACTTAATGAATAGTTTTTCACACTTACAACCCTGGCAGCATCCATATGGTCACATGATCAAAAATAGGAAGCTTCTCAACTGGCAAGTACTTACGACTGTTTCAGTGTCCTGGGGTCATGTGATCCCCTTTTGTGAACTTCTGACAAGCAAAGTTCATGGGGAATTGAAATTCACTTTACAGTCGTGTTCCTAACTCAGGGGTAGGCCATCTTGGCTCTTTTATGACTCGTGGACTTCAACTCCCAGAATTCCTGAGCCAGCCTGGCTCAGCTTGGAAACCTCTCCCTTTCCCCTCAGCGTGGCTGGCTCAGGAATTCTGGGAGTTGAAGTCCACCAGTCATAAAAGAGCCAAGATGGCCTACACCTGCCCTAGGCTATATAAATAACACTTAGAATAGCCCTTAGACCAGGGGTAGGCCACCTTGGCTCTTTTATGACTCGTGGCCTTCAACTCCCAGAATTCCTGAGCCAGCCTGGCTCAGCTTGGAAACCTCTCCCTTTCCCCTCAGCATGGCTGGTTCAGGAATTCTGGAAGTTGAAATCCATGAGCCATAAAAGGGCCAAGTTTGAAGACCCTTGTCCTAGACAGTCACTTCTCTGAAATGATATAGGGCAGGGGTAGGCCACCTTGGCTCTTTTATGACTCGTGGACTTCAACTCCCAGAATTCCTGAGCCAGCCTGGCTCAGCTTGGAAACCTCTCCCTTTCCCCTCAGCGTGGCTGGCTCAGGAATTCTGGGAGTTGAAGTCCACGAGTCATAAAAGAGCCAAGGTGGCCTACCCCTGAGCTAGATCCATTTCTAATGGGCTGATGACATGCTTGGCCTGGAAAAGAGGCCTTTGTATGTTAGAAACAAACAGGGAAGCCCACATGAAAGAGGCAGTGAAAATGTTTGGACAGGCAACAATTAGCCAAGTAGATCTTGTCTTGCAGATGCTTGGAATGGAACGAGGGATCAGTAAAAGGGACAGAAATAACCCCAACATTAGTTTATCCAGGATGCCTCACTTGGTTGTCAATTTCCTGGATTTGCCCACACCCACATCATTTGCTGGAGAAAGGAAGTAAACACCATTTTGGGCAGGGGTAGGCAACCTTGACTCTTTTATAACTTTTTTATGACTAAAAAAATAAGACTTGGGATCTGTCCTTGCACCAACGTCCCTAGGGCCACATAAATCAAAATTCAGCCACTTGGCAACCAGCGTGGCTTTGCAACGATTGCAGCCTTGCCACCTTCCCAGCTGGCTTCTAATAAGCAAAGTCAATGGATTCATTTTTACAACCATGTGACTCACTTAACAACTGTGGTGATTTGCGTAACGACTGTGGCAAAAAAAAGACTGCAAAATTGGATGCAACTCGCTTAATAAGTGCCTTGCTTAACAATGGTAAATATGATCTCAATTACGGTTTTAAATCAAGGATTACTGTAAATATGAAATTTTGCACAAAGAGATTTTCTTTCTTTCTTTTTCTTTCTTTCTTTCTTTCTTTCTTTCTTTCTTTCTTTCTTTCTTTCTTTTTTTTCTACCTACCTACCTATCAACCTATCTATCTATCTATCTATCTATCTATCTATCCATCCATCCATCCATCCATCCATCCATCCATCCATCCATCCATCCATCTATCTATCTATCTATCTATCTATCTATCTATCTATCTATCAATAATAATAGTAATAGTAAAGTTGGAAGGGACCTTGGAGGTCATCTAGTCCAACCGCCTGCTCAGGCAGGAAGCCCTATACCATTTCAGACAAATGGCTGTCCAGTCTCTTCTTAAAAACTTCCAGTGTTGGAGCATTTACTGCTTCTGGAAGCAGGTTGTTCCACTGGTTAATTGTTCTAACTGTCAGGAAGTTTCTCCTTAGTTCTAGGTTGCTTCTCTCCTTGATTAGTTTCCATCCATTGCTTTTTCTCCTGCCTGCAGGAGCTTTGGGGAATAGCTTGACTCCCTCTTCTTTGTGGCAGCCCCTGAGATATTGGAACACTGCTATTATGTCCCCCCCTCGTCCTTCTCTTCATTAAACTAGACATACCCAATTCCAGCAACCATTCCTTATATATTTTAGCCTTCAGTCCCCTAATCATCTTTGTTGCTCTTCTCTGTACTCTCTCTCTCTCTCTCTCTCTCTCTCTCTCTCTCTCTACCTACCTACCTACCTACCTATCCAGCCACCTACCTACCTACTCTACCTACCTACCTACTCTATCTACCTACGTACCTATCTACCTACCTATCTACCTCCTCTATTTATCTCTATCTATCTACCTACTTACCTATACCTACCTACCTACCTACTTACCTATCTACCTACCTACTCTATCTACCTGTCTGTCTATCTACCTGCCCACCTACCTTATCTATCTACCTACCTACCTACCTACCTACTCTATTTATCTCTATCTACCTACCTACTTTACCTACCTACCTACCTACTCTACCTACCTACCTACTCTATCTACCTGTCTATCTATCTGTCTACCTACCTACCTACCTTATCTATCTACCTACCTATCTATCTATCTATCTATCTATCTATCTATCTATCTATCTATCTATATCTACCTATCTATCTACCTTATCTATCTATCTATCTATCTGTCTGTCTGTCTGTCTGTCTGTCTATCTATCTATCTATCTATCTATCTATCTATCTATCCATCTATCTATCGCTCTTTCTATCTGAGAATTTTAAAAAGGAAATAGAAATTAATAAAGACTGCTATAAAATAAGACAAAAGAAGAGATGAAGGAGAAGGCTTACAAAAGAAAACAGAAAAGAAAGAAAAGTTACGAAGAATTGCCTTCCAATCCTCTTTACATTTTTCCTTGCTTAAACGTGGTTCCTGTCCTTCTGTTAAGCATTTTATTACCACTTCTAGCTATTTGAAAGGTCCCATCCCAGCATTTTTTAGAGGAAAAAAATCCAATTATTCCTTGTTATGTAACTTAATTGGCTTTTGACCAAACAGATGAAAACCAGAGGGCTGTTGAGGGTGGGGGGGGGATAGGGGGACTGGGGAGGCTTGGCTACAAAAATAAACCTTTTGTTTGCAGTTTGCCCTGACAGCTTTAGGGTTCATTAAAAGAAGAACAGAATGTTTTCTTAAATATGAAGGAACAGGCCAGGCCCAGGGAGACTTGGAAGAAAGAAAAACTGATGACAGTTTTCCTTATTCTATTCTATTCTATTCTATTCTATTCTATTCTATTCTATTCTATTCCATTCCTTATTCTATTCCATTCCTTATTCTATTCTATTCTATTCTATTCTATTCCATTCCTTATTCTATTCCATTCCTTATTCTATTCTATTCTATTCTATTCTATTCTATTCCATTCCTTATTCTATTCCATTCCTTATTCTATTCTATTCTATTCTATTCTATTCTATTCTATTCTATTCTATTCTATTCTATTCTATTCTATTCCTTATTCTATTCTATTCCTTATTCTATTCTACTCTATTCTATTCTATTCCTTATTCTCTTCTATTCCTTATTCTCTTCTCTTCTCTTCTATTCCTTATTCTATTCTATTCTATTCTATTCTATTCTATTCTGTTCTGTTCTGTTCTGTTCTGTTCTGTTCTGTTCTATTCTATTCTATTCTATTCTATTCCTTATTCCATTCTATTCCTTATTCTATTCTATTCTATTCTATTCTCTATTCTATATTCTATACTCTATATTCTATATTCTATATTCTATTCTATATTATATAGTCTATTATATTCTATATTGTAGTCTAATCTAGTCTAGTCTAGTCTATTCACTCGCGGGGAAACGCGCGGCGCCAGCAGCCGACGGGCGTCGCTCGATCCAGCCGCTTCTCCTCGGCTCCTTCGCTTCGCAACGGGCCGGCGCGGAGGGCCGGAGGCGCCCAGGAGGGGGCGAGCCAGCCACGGGCAGAAAAAGCCTCGGCGGGTCCGCCCCGGAACCCGAGGACAACAAGGGCGAAGCGAAGCGTCGCGATCCGCCCGAGAGGAGCCGAGCAGCGGATGCCTCTCGCCGCCCTTGCCCCCGCCGGAGAATCCCGAGGCGCCCGTCGATCGTCCTCCGCGCCCGGCCCCGAAGCGCCGACCGGCAGCCCGGAGGGCCAAGCCGGCTTCTCCATCGCTCCCGTTCCGTGGTGTTGCTGCGGCTGGAGGAGGAGGAGGCGCGCCCCGGATCCTTCTTGCCCCGGTGCCCGCGGGCCACTTCTGGGCACCGCTGCCAGGCCAGGTTCGCGTTGGAGACGTGGGACAGGTTTGCCCATAAGCCACGGCCGAGGCCCGGTCGGCTGTGGGGGAAATGGGTTCGGGGGTGCTCGGAGCCTCTTTGCCCTCTCCCAGGGTTTACGATCCTGGCCAGGGAGCCCCCTCGGAGGCGCTGGGGACCGCAGAAAGCCTTGCGGGCTGAGAGTGGAGGGTGGGTGACTCTGTTTGGTAAGCTAAGCAGGACCAAGGCTGGTTTGGACTTGGATGGGAGGCTTGAGGTAGATGCAGTTGAGACATGTCCTGGATCGGGGGCAGGAGAATCCAGGGTTTTAGAATAGAATAGAAGCTGGAAGGGACCTTTGGAGGTCTTCTAGTCCAGCCCCCTGCTCGGCAGGAGAACCTATACCGTCTCAGACAAGTGACTGAGCAACCTTGGCTCTTTTTTTGACTCGTGGACTTCAACTTCCAGAGCAGTGGTTCTCAACCTGTGGGTCGGGACCCCATTTGGGGTCAAACGACCATTTCACGGGGGTCGCCAAACAACGCTGTCCGCCATTTTTTCCCCCTTTTCCTTAGCTGTGCTACTCCGTTTTATTCTATTGGCTTTTGAAAGCCAATAGAATAGACTCTGTTGAATAGAGTCTAATTCTATTGGCTTTCAAAAGCCAATAGGAGTTGTCCAGGCTGTCTCTGCCCTGCTGAGCCCGCCAAAAGTCCCATTCTGCAAACGGTGCTGCACCAGTTGAGTAGTCCTCGACGTACGACCGGTTGAGTAGTCCTCAACTTACGACCAGTTGGGGGTCGCGGCATTAAAAAGGTTGAGAACCACTATTCCAGAGGAACCAAGGTTGCCTACCCCTGGTTTAGCCTCTTCTTGAAAACCTCCAGTGATGGAGCGCCCACGATTTCTGGGGACAAAGCTGTTCCACTGATTGATTGTCCTCACTGTCAGGAAGTTTCTCCTTAATTCCAGGTTGCTTCTCTCCTTGATCATTGTTTCTCTTCTCACCTTCCCTCTGGTGCTTTGGTGAACAACCTGGCCCCCACTTTTTGTGAATATCTGAGGGGCTTACCAAAAGCTCACTTCCAGCAAGGAGGGGGGGAACACACACATATATGGTACTCCTCGACTTAACAACCACAGTTTTTCTTATGACCAAAAATTTACCTTGCTAAGTGAGACATTTGTTGTGAGTTTTGCCCCATTTTTACGACTTTTCTTGCCACAGTTGTTAAGTGAATCACTGCAGTTGTTATGGTAGTAACACAGTTGTGAGGTGAATCTGGCTTCCCCATTGACTTTGCTTGTAACGGAAGGTTACAAAAGACCCCAGGACACAGTCACCGTCATAAATAGGAGTCAGTTGCCAAGTATCTTAATTTTGATCACATGACCATGGGGAGGCTGCAGCGGTTGTAAGTGTGACGAACAGTCGTAATCACTTTTTTTCAGTGCTGTTGTAACTTTGAAGTGAAATGTTGTAAGTTGAGGACTACCTGTATATTTCCCTGTATTACCATTTCTGTATTTAACAGATGCCTGTGGCTTGTTCTTCACTTCATTTTGTGACAATTACAACAGCACTGAAAAAAGTGACTTATGACCGTTTTTCGACACTTGTGACCATTGCAACACACTAATGGTCACATGATCAAAATTAAAATGCTTGGCAGCTGGTTCATATTTATGATGGTTGCAGTGTTCTGGGATCATATGTTCACATTTTGCGACCTTCTCACAAAGAATAAATAGAATAGAATAGAATAGAATAGAATATCAAATATCGAATATCGAATTATCGAATAGAATATAGAATATGGAGAATAGAATAGAATAGAAAGAATAGAATATAGAATAGAATAGAATATCGAATAGAATAGAATAGAAGATAGAATATCGAATATTGAATAGAATATAGAATATGGAGAATAGAATAGAATAGAATATCAAATATCGAATATCGAATTATCAAATAGAATATAGAATATGGAGAATAGAATAGAATATAGAATATAGAATATAGAATATAGAATATAGAATATAGAATATAGAATATAGAATATAGAATATAGAATAGAATAGAACATAGAATAGAATAGAGTAGAATAGAATAGAAGTCTATTCTCGGAGTCCTAGTAGACAATCACTTAAATATGAGCCAGCAGTGTGCTGCAGCTGCCAAAAAGGCCAACACAGTGCTAGGCTGCATTAACAGAGGGATAGAATCAAGATCACGTGAAGTACTAATACCACTCTTCAATGCCTTGGTAAGGCCACACTTGGAATACTGCATCCAGTTTTGGTCACCACGATGTAAAAAAAGATGTTGAGACTCTAGAAAGAGTACAGAGAAGAGCAACAAAGATGATTAGGGGACTGGAGGCTAAACATATAAGGAACGGTTGCGAGAATTGGGTATGTCTAGTTTAACGAAGAGAAGGACAAGGGGGGACATGATAGCAGTATTCCAATATCTCAGGGGCTGCCATAAAGAAGAGGGAATTAAGCTATTTTCCAAAGCACCTGAAGGCAGGACACGAAGCAACGGGTGGAAACTAATCAAGGAGAGAAGCAACCTAGAACTAAGGAGAAACTTCCTGACAGTGAGAACAATTAATCAGTGGAACAGCTTGCCTCCAGAAGCATAAATGCTCCAACACTGGAAGTTTTTAAGAAGAGACTGGACAGCCATTTGTCCGAAATGGTGTAGGGTTTCCTGCCCGAGCAGGGGGTTGGACTAGATGACCTCCAAGGTCCCTTCCAACTTTACTACTATTACTAGAAGATAGAATATCGAATATTGAATAGAATATAGAATATGGAGAATAGAATAGAATAGAATAGAATATCAAATATCGAATTATCAAATAGAATATAGAATATGGAGAATAGAATATAGAATATAGAATAGAATAGAATAGAATAGAATAGAATAGAATAGAATAGAATAGAATAGAATAGAGCTGGAAGGGACCTTGGAGATCTTCTATTCCAGCCCCCTGCTCAAGCAGGAGAACCTATAATATCTCAGACGGGAGAATGACTAGCATCTTCTTAAAAATTTCCAGTGATGGAGCGCCCACGATTTCTGGAGGCAAGCTGTTCCACTGGTTAATTGTTCTCACTGTCAGGAAGTTTCTCCTTAATTCCAGGTTGCTCCTCTCCTTGATCAGCTTCCAACCATTGTTTCTCGTCCTGCCCTCTGGTGCTTTGGTGAACAACGTGACCCCCTCTTCTTTGTGGCAGCCCCTCAGACACTGGAACCCTGCTATCATGTCTCCCCTGTTTCTTCTTTTCTCTAGACTAGCCAAACCCAAAGTCTCGCGGCCATTCTTCGTATGTTTTAGTCTCCAGGCCTTTGATCATCTTAGTTGCTCTTCTCTGAATTTTTTCCAAACTCTCAACATCTTTTTTGGGATAGGGTGACCAAAATTGGCTGCCGTATTCCAGGTGTGGTCTTACTAGGGATTTTATAGAGCGGTACTAATACCTCGCGTGATCTTGATTCTATGCCTCTGTTTATACAACCCAGGATTGTATTAGCTTTTTTGGCTGCTGCTGCTGGACACTGCTGGCTCCTAGTCAAGTGATCGTCCACTAGGACTCCAAGGTCCCTCTCACAGTCACTGTTTTTGAGCCAGGTCTTGTCTAATCTATACTTACACCTTTCATTTTTCCTGCCTAAATGTAAAACTTTGCTTTTCTCCACGTTGAAACTCATTTTGTTGGATAATCAATGGGGAAGCCAAATTCACTTAACAACAAGGTTACTAACTTAGCAACTGCAATTATTCACTTCACAACTGTGGCAAGAAAAGTCGTAAAACGGGGCAAAACTCACTTAATTTGGGATGTTTTTAGTCCGGCTTACCTGGCACGGTTGAGAAGTTTCAGCTTGGCAGATCAAAAATCCCTTCCGTGTTCTACAGGTAGTCCTCAGCTTACAACAGTTTGTTTAGTGACCGTTCGAAGTTACAGCAGCCCTGGAAAAAGTGACTTATGGCCGGTTTTCACACAACTGTTGCAGCATCCCCCACAGTCATATAGTCGAAATTGGCAACTGACTTCTATTTATGACGGTCGCAGCGTCCCGGGATCACGTGATCCCCTTTTGCAACCTTCTGACAAGCCACGTCAATGGGAAAAGCCAGATTCACTTAATGACCGGGTCACTAATTGCAGTGATTCACTTAACATCTGTGACAAGAAAGGCCATAAAAAGGGGGAGGAAACTCGCTTAACAACTCTCTCACTTAGCTACAGCAATTTTGGGCTCAATTGTGGTCATAAGTCGAGGACTACCTGTACTCCCTCCTCATTTTTCCCCACCACCACCACAACCCTGTGAGGTAGGCTGGGCTCAAAAACGATTGCTCCAAAATCCCCCAGGGAGCTTTTGCGATGATGGGGATCTGAGTCTAATCCAGTGGTGGCGAACCTATGGCACGGGTGCCAGAGGCGGCACTCAGAGCCCTCTCTGTGGGCACACGCGCCGTCGCCCCAATCCTAGGCCTTCAGCTGGGTTTTATAAAACCTTTTTGCTTTAGGCCTCCGCCCTATGCAAAAAAAAAAAAAAAAGGTTCAATCAGTCAATTTCAACTTCTCACGGGAAAAAAAAAAGATCTTGCAAAGTTGGAATTGATTAATTGAACTTTTTCGTCCCATCCAGTCTGCCGTACCACCGCAGCCACGCCCACCCAATGGACAATGCCCACCTAATGGGTCACATCCAGCCAATGGCCCCACCCATCCGGCACTCGACGATGCATAAGTGGATTTTGGGTTGCAGTTTGGGCACTCAGTCTCTAAAACAGTGGTTCTCAACCTTTTTAATGCCGTGACCCCCAACCGGTCGTAAGTCGAGGACTACTCAACCGGTCGTAAGTCTAGGACTACTCAACTGGTGCAGCACCGTTTGCAGAATGGGACTTTTGGCAGGCTCAGCAGGGCAGAGACAGCCTGGACAATTCCTATTGGCTTTTGAAAGCCAATGAATTAGACTCTATTCAAGAGAGTCTATTCTATTGGCTTTCAAAAGCCAATAGAATAAAAGGGAGTAGCACAGCTAAGGAAAAGGGGGAAAAAATGGCGGACTGCGTTGTTTGGCGACCCCCGTGAAATGGTCGTTCGACCCCAAATGGGATCCCGACCCACAGGTTGAGAACCACTGCTCTAAAAGGTTCGCCATCACTGGTCTAATCATTCTTCGTCCAGCACTTATCCCATCCTAGCTAAGTGTAGGGATCTTCGGGGATCGAGTGGGGGGGGACCAGATCCTGGGTCTCTGTGGTGCCAGTCTAACACTACAACGACTACAATCCCGTGAAATTGCAGGTGGACAACTGGGCATATCCCGGGTTTTGTTAGGCCCGCCCTGACGTCTTCCACCGGGAATGAAAGCAGCGAAGGAGCGCCTTTCGGCGGAGCCCAAATTGGAAGGGGCACCAACAGGACCTGGAAAAGCCACCGGCCCTCTTGCGACTGAAGGCATGATCAGGCCGCCAGGATGGGGAGCGTCACGCGAGAGCAAAGGGGAAACCTGTAAAGCGGGACAACAGCGCTGGGAGGCCCAGTGGCAGGAGTTCCTGAGGACGCTCCATCCCGGAAGGGGAGGAAACCCCGTGATGATGTCAGAGGCCTCTCCCTGGGAAGACCCCAAGGCCTTTCTGGCCTCTTTTGAGCAGGTGGCCACTGCCTGCCAGTGGCCCAGAGGAGAATGGACGGCTCATCTCCGGCCAGCTCTGAGCGGAGGGGTGGAAGAGACCTTCCGGAGCCTGGATGCCAAAGACCAAGGGGATTATGGGAAGGTCAAGGCCGCCATCTTGCGAGGGGAAGCCCTGAGAATGGAGATGCAACGCCAACATTTTCGCCAGTTCTGCTGCCAGGAGGTGGGAGACCCCAGGAGGCTTTACGGCCAGCTCCAACAGCTGTGCCTCCAGTGGCTGAGGCCGGAGAGACGCAGCAAGGAGCAGATCCTGGAGCTGCTGATCCTGGAGCAGTTCCTGGCCAGCCTCCCATCGGAGCTGCGGAGCTGGATCCAGGCCAGGAGGCCAGAGACGTGTCCCCAGGCGGTGACTCTGGTGGAGGACTTCCTTCGGAGCCAGGAGCAGACCAGACCCGGGTCATGGCAGGTGAAGTTTCAAGAATTAATTCAGAGAGGTAGGCCACCTTGGCTCTTTTCTGACTCGTGGACTTCAACTCCCAGAATTCCTGAGCCAGCATGGCTCAGCTTGGAAACCTCTCCCTTTCCCCTCAGTGTGGCAGGCTCAGGAATTCTGGGAGTTGAAGTCCACGAGTCATAAAAGAGCCAAGATGGCCTATACCTGCTCTAGGCTATATAAATAACACTTAGAATAGCCCTTAGACCAGGGGTAGGCAACCTTGGCTCTTTTATGACTTGTGGACTTCAACTCCCAGAATTCCTGAGCCAGCATGGCTCAGCTTGGAAACCTCTCCCTTTCCCCTCAGTACGGCTGGCTCAGGAATTCTGGGAGTTGAAGTCCACAAGTCATAAAAGAGCCAAGATGGCCTATACCTGCTCTAGGCTATATAAATAACACTTAGAATAGCCCTTAGACCAGGGGTAGGCCACCTTGGCTCTTTTATGACTCGTGGACTTCAACTCCCAGAATTCCTGAGTCAGCATGGCTCAGCTTGGAAACCTGTCCCTTTCCCCTCAGTATGGCTGGCTCAGGAATTCTGGGAGTTGAAGTCCACGAGTCATAAAAAAGCCAAGGTGGCCTACCCCTGGTCTAAGGGATGTTAAGGAGGTTGCCATAGTTATGCTCCAGTTTCAGTTGCCGGCTTATTGCCTTTGTACTATGCATGTAGTCCTCGACTTATAACAATTCATTTAGTGACCGTTTGAAGTGACAACGGCACTGAACAAAGTGACTTGGGACTGTTTTTCGCTCTTACAACCGTGGCAGCATTCCCACGGTCACACGATCAAAATTAAAAAAACACTTAGCAACTGGCATGTATTTATGACGGTTGCAGTGTCCCTGGGGGGGTCACGTGATCCCCTTTGGCGACCTTCTGACAAGCAAAGTCAATGGGGAACTCCGATTCACTTAACAACCATGTTACTAACTTAACAACTGCAGTGATTCATTTTACAACCCGGGCAAGAAAGGTCGTTAAATGGAGCAAAACCCATTTAACAATTGTCCTGCTTAGCAACAGAAACATCAGGCTCAATTTTGGTCGTAAGTCGAGGGCTCCTTGTATAGGCAAGTCCAAAATCTGAACCAAGTTTAGGTAACCTTTAATTAGATTAGATAACCTTTATTGTCATTATTTCCTGTGGGCACGACGGCACACATTAAAAATGAAATTTAGTTGGTTCCTCTCAAAGTGTACACATACGTGACACACATTTAAAACATACTATATACAATATATGTACTTGTTGTACAGTATAAGTCTATAGCTTGTTTCCTGTAGCTTGCTCGGGTTTATCTTTTTTTTTTAAATGAACTATAATGTTGGATTTTATTGACACATTAATTTTGCTTTCTTAAGTGGCCGCCGTGGGAATTTTCTACCCATACTGTGTGACAAAAGCCTTTACAGTACAAGTAGTCCTCAACTTACAACATTCGTTTAGCGACTGTTCAAAGTTACAACAGCACTGAAAAAAGCAACAACTTGACTTCTCACGCACAACTGTCACATCATCAACACGATCCTGTGGTCAAAATTTCAGGCACTTGGCAACTGGGCAATGTGACTTATTGGGCTTGTGTAATAGAGAAAGGCTGATGTGTGTGTGTGTGTGTGTGTGTGTGTGTGTGCATGTGTGTGTGTAAAATCAGTCCTTTCACTCTGAACTGCAGCATCCTCATTTTTTTTTTTCAGAATTCCTTAAAGGAAGAGCGGATGGATTTTTTACACGCAGAAGAAACACCTCTGGAAGTTATGAAGAGAGAAAATGGTGAGATAGAGGAGGGTAAAACTCTCCTGAAATTTCCTTTCCTCTCCTTTCCTCTCCTCTCCTCTCCTCCCCTCCCCTCCCCTCATCTCCTTTCCTCTCTCCTCTCCTTTCCTTTCCTTTCCTTTCCTCTCCTCCCCTCCCCTCTCCTCCCCTCCCCTCCCCTCCCCTCATCTTCTTTCCTCTCTCCTCTCCTCTCCTCTCCTCTCCTCCCCTCCCCTCATCTCCTTTCCTCTCCTCTCCTCTCCTTTCCTCTCCTCTCCTTTCCTCTCCTCTCCTCTCCTCTCCTCTCCTCCCCTCCCCTCCCCTCATCTCCTTTCCTCTCCTGTCTCCTCTCCTCCTCTCCTCCCCTCTCCTCCCTCTCCTCCCCTCCCCTCATCTCCTCCCCTCTCCTCTCCTCTCTCTCCTCTCCCTCTCCTCTCCTTTCCTCTCCTCTCCTCTCCTCCCCTCCCCTCTCATCTCCTTTCCTCTCTCCTCTTCTCTCCTCTCCTCTCCTTTCCTTTCCTCTCCTTTCTTCTCCTCTCCTCTCTTCCCCTCCCCTCTAATCTTTCCTTTCCTCTCCTTTCCTTTCCTCTCCTTTCCTCTCCTCTCCTCTCCTCTCCTCTCCTCCCCTCTAATCTTTCCTTTCCTCTCCTTTCCTTTCCTCTCCTCTCCTCTCCTCCCCCCTCCCCTCTCATCTTTCCTCTCCTCTCCTCTCCTCCCCTCCCCTCATCTCCTTTCCTCTCTCCTCTCCTCTCCTTTCCTCTCCTCCCCTCCCTCTAATCTTTCCTTTCCTCTCCTTTCCTTTCCTCTCCTTTCTTCTCCTCTCCTCTCCTCTCCTCTCCTCCCCTCCCTCTATCTTCCTTTCCTCTCCTTTCCTCTCCTTTCCTTTCCTCATCCTCCTCCTCCTCCTCTCCCTCTTTCCTTTCCTTTCCTTCCTTTCCTCTCCTCTCCTTTCCTTTCCTTTCCTTCCTTTCCTCTCCTCCCCTCTCCTTCCTCCCCTCCCCTCTCATCTCCTCTCCCCCCTCCCCTCTCATCTCCTTTCCTTTCTCTCCTTTCCTCCTCCCCTCCCCTCCCCTCCCCTCATCTCCTTTCCTTTCCTCTCCTTTCCTCTCCTCTCCTCTCCTTTCCTCTCCTTTTCTCTCCTCTCCTCCCCTCCCCCCTCTCCTCTCCTTTCCTCTCCTTTCCTCTCTTCCCCTCTCCTTCCTTCCCCTCCCCTCCCCTCTCTCCTTTCCTTCTTTCCTTTCCTTTCCTCTCCTTTCCTTTCCTTCTTTCCCTTCCTTTCCTTTCCTTTCCTTCCCTTCACTTTCCTTCCCTTTTCTTTCCCTTTTCTTTCCTCTCTTCTCCTCTCCTTTCCTCACCTTTCCTCTCCTTTCCCCTGCTTTCCTTTCCTCTCCTCTCCTCTCCCCTCCCCACCTCTCTTCTCTTTCTTTTTCTCTTTTCGCATTTGTGACATACTTAGGCTGGTGGAACCAAATGACTTGGCTCAGCTTCCTAGCAAAAGGATTTTGAGCAAATGCAGTTTAGCCTCCAATACATCAGGATAGATGCATCCATTTTGTGATTGCTGTGTGTAAAGCAGTGTTTTTAGAGACCTGGCAACTTTCAAATGTCTGGACTTCAGTTCCCAGAATTCTCCAGCCATCAGAGGTTTACACTCCTCAGAGTTACCAAGTTGTAAAGCAAGAGTTTGAGGCAGATCCAGGAAGCTCCTTCTTATTGGAATCTACCCTGTTTCTCAGGAAGCGCTAAGGGGCAGGCCACCTTGGCTCTTTTATGACTCGTGGACTTCAACTCCCAGAATTCCTGAGCCAGCATGGCTCAGCTTGGAAACCTCTCCCTTTCCCCTCAGCGTGGTTGGCTCAGGAATTCTGGGAGTTGAAGTCCACGAGTCATAAAAGAGCCAAGATGGCCTACTCCTGATTTGAGGAAAAGAATGTTTCCCCAAGGAAACTGTCTAGAGTGATACATTCCTGAATTAATCTTTTTAAGGCCTGCGGACTTCAACTCTCAGAATTCTCCAGCCTGGACTAGATCAGGGTAGGCAACCTTGGCTCTTTTATGACTCGTGGACTTCAACTCCCAGAATTCCTGAGCCAGCCTGGCTCAGCTTGGAAACCTCTCCCTTTCCCCTCAGCATGGCTGGCTCAGGAATCGTCCTTTGAAATGAAAGCTCAAATTTCAGAGCGATTAATTTGTGCGTGTAAGCGGTCTGTCAACGCTGCTAACATCGGGTGTTTTTGCTTTGACAACAGTTAGAGATTGCTGGCTGTGGAATTCTGGGAGTTGAAGTCCACATGCCTTAAAATTGTCAAGGTTGAAAATCACTGTGTTTAGTTAGATATAACAATACTGGACCTAGTGTGGAACCAAGGTGAATGAAATAAGAGATGATAAAAATTGGCCAGGCTGGAGAACTGGAGGGAGAGCCTGCATTTGAAACTAATTGGAGACTGTGTTTTATGACTGTCAATTAGAGGAGGGAATTGTGCTTTGATACTATGTGTTCAAGGGGGGGGGGTTCAGTTTTTGGCTTTGATTATGTTAGTGCGGAGGTTATGCTTCTGGAAGACTCTTTAAGGTAAACAATGCCTTGAAGTTCTTTGAAGAGTTTCATCTGTCGGAACCATGATACGGTCCCCCTAACAAAATGTTGCAGGAAGCAACTTGGATCTGTGTTAATGGCTTGGAGAAGGAAATTTCCTGACAGTGAAAAGAATTAACCAGTGGAACGGCTTTGCCTTCAGAAGTTGTGGGTGCTCCTACACTGGAAGCTTTTAAGAAGAGACTGAACAACCGTTTGTCTGATATCGCATAGGGCGGTGGTGGCGAACCTATGGCATCGGTGCCAGAGGCAGGACTCAGAGACCTCCCTATTGGCACGTGCACCGTTGCCGCAGCCCCGCCTCCCCGTGGCCCCCTCCTCACCAGCAGCCCCCCTCCCGGAGGAGAGTCACCCTTGGGCATGGCCTGCGCAGAGCAGTGCAGCCAAGGACATGTCATCCAGGCAGCAGGGACAAGACTCCACCCTTGCGCCCCTTCCCATGCAGATGATGCTGCAGAGCGTGGGTGGAGGGTGTGGCTGCCATGGTACTGCAGGACCGCCTGGGCAATCTGTGGCGGGGCGTGGAGGTGGTAGGTGGCCCTGCGGGCAGGCGCGGCGGAGTGGAGTGGGTGGGGCAGTTTTTGGGCACTCGGTGTCTAAAGGTTTTGCCCTCACTGGTTTAGGGTCTCCTGCTTGAGCAGGGGAGAGGATGGTCTAGAACAGGGGTTTTGTGGGCTTTGAGCAGTATGCAACCAGGTTGCGGAAATGGCTGGAAAGCATATGTGTGCGCACGCACATTTTTATTTGCGGCGGCAGCGGGCAAGCACGCGCTCCATTTAAGTGAGCGGCAGGCACGCGTGCTTGCCGGCCTCTTGCACGGAACCATCCCCTCTCCCCCGCCCACCGCCAGTTCACAAAGCCACTTTCTGTAGAGCAGTGGTTCTCAACCTTTTTAATGCTGCGACCTCCCAACCGGTCGTAAGTCGAGGACTACCCAACCAGTCGTAAGTCGATGACTTTCCCTGCCCGGGAGTGCCGCGCATGCGTGGTGCCGCCCCCTGCGCCGGCCGAAGCATAGCTGGCAAGCGGCAGAGATGGCGCAGGCCGACCACCGGCTGGGCCACCAGGTGGCCCAGCCCAAGGGAGGTAAGGCACCCGCCGGGCCCTGCGCGCGCCAGCAACCCTCCCTGTGCCCGCCGGCCTCCCACCTCCCACCCCTGGCCCTCTTTTACTTACATTTTTAGTAGTTGCTCAGCAGGGAGGGGTGGAAACTTCCAGACAGCTCACCTTCGCTGCAGACAACTTACAGCACCGTTTGCAGACTGGGGCTTTTGGCGGGCTCGCAGGGCAGAGACAGCCTGGACAATTCCTATTGGCTTTTGAAAGCCAATAGAATTAGACTCTATTCAAGAGAGTCTATTCTATTGGCTTTCAAAAGCCAATAGAATAAAAGGGAGTAGCATAGCTAAGGAAAAGGGGGGAAAAAATGGCGAACTGCGTTATTTGGTGACCCCCGTGAAATGGTCATTTGACCCCAAATGGGGTCCTGACCCACAGGTTGAGAACCGCTGCTATAGAGGGACATATTGCATTACAATCATATTGTATTACATTACATCACATCATATTGCATTACAATCTGGTTTGGAAGTATCTTTGTTTCAGCTAGAAAGGCAGTGCAAAGAGTGATGGGGATGGCAGAAACGATTATTGGTGCACAAGATTGTCTAGGATATGACACATCCTCTCCACAACCTGTTTTCTTTGTTACCTTCTGGGAGGGGGCTCTGTGGTATCTGAAGCAGAACATCCAGATTCAGTCACAGTTTTGTTCCATACAGTATTAACCTTGTGAACTCTAAAGCTTCCCCCTTCCGTTATGTATTCAAGATGGACAGTGATTAATATTTATATGTTACTTATATGTAAGGGTGTAGGTCTATAGTCCAGGGGTAGGCAACCTTGGCTCTTTTATGACTCCTGGACTTCAACTCCCAGAATTCCTGAGCCAGCCATGCTGAGGGGAAAGGGAAAGGTTTCCAAGCTGAGCCATGCTGGCTCAGGAATTCTGGGAGTTGAAGTCCACGAGTCATAAAAGAGCCGAGGTGGCCTACCCCTGGTCTATACATATGTTGTATATAGCATGTTTATATGTCTGTTATGTATGTGTACACTTTTGAGAGCAAGCAACGGAATTTCATTTTTAATGTGTGCCAGTGTTCCCACAGTAAAAAAAAAATGACCATAAAGACTATCTTATCTATCTTATCTTCTAACTCTGTTACGCTGTTATTCCTCAATCTTTTCTTCTTTTCTTTGTAGACCACAAAGCGGGAACTGAGCCAGCCCTCCCAACAGACCAGCTTCAGGGTGGAAACCTAGATTTTTCCGGTAAGGAAGGTCCTCCAAGCCCCACATATAAAGATCAGCCAATATGATTTGCTATCTGCAGCATAAAAAAAAAAAGCTGCTTGTCAAGAGTTCATATCCACTATCTTCATCTCCGGCAAAGCAAGATGTTTAGAGTTTTAATCCATTCCTAGCGACTGAAAGAGGGAACAAGTGCAGAGCAAACATTAAGAAAGAAGCCACATCAACTATAGGCCAGAATGCCAATTTCCAATAACTCATGAAGTTAGCCCTTGCTCTCTCCTCCCTCCCAATTCTTCTTATATTCAGGTTTAACCTGCCCCTCCCACCCTGTTCTGTCCCAGCCTACGTGAGTCCTTGTTATGCTCACAAGGAGAAACCCCTCTTCCAAGAAACAGGCTGGAACTGCAAGAAGAAACCAACCCCTTTTATTCTCACAGACCTAAGTCAATGTCCAAGACAAACAAACACAGTCCATAGAAACTCGATCCTCAACACGAACGGTTGCCTTTGGCAACCAGCATCTCCCACACCTTCCCTTTTATAATTCAGCCAAGGCCTGGCTTCCTAATGCCTTCTCCTTTGCCTTTGGAGCCGCCCCGTTGCATTCCTCTGTCCTACTCTCTTTTCTTGCCGGCGCTTTCGTGCATCCTGGATTTGTCCCGGCTATGATTCATCACTGTCCAACAGACTCCCAGCACAGCTGTGTCTCAGTGCGAGTAGAGGGGCCAGGCTCCTCATCCGACTGTAAGTCTTGGAGCTCCTCAGAGCCTGACTCTGATGTCACTCCAGGCCCCTCCTCCTCCGATTCCTCCGACTCCGCTGCCGGGTCCACTGGCTGGCGAGGAATCACAACAGGGCTTGACTTATGACCCTCTTTCACACTTACAATCATTGCAGCATCCCCATAGTCATGTGAGCAAAATTAGGAAGCTTGGCAACTGACTCGTATTTATGACAGTTACAGGGTACTGGAATCATGTGATCACTTTGGTGATGCTGTGGTGCCTCAGTGGTTAGAAGGCAGTGTTGCAGGCCGACTCTGCCCACAGTCAGGAGTTCGATCCTGACCTGTTCAAAGTTTTATTCAGCTTTCCATCCTTCCGAGGTTGGTAAAATGAAGACCCAGATTCTTGGGGGGCAGCGTGCTGACTCTGTAAACCGCTTGGAGAAAGGCTGTAAAGTACCGTGAAGCGGTATATAAGTCTAAGTGCTTAGTGCTATTTTGCAACCTTCTGATAAGCAACGGAGGGAGGCAGATTCACTTCACAACTGGGTTACTAACTTAGCAACTTAACAAATGTGGCAAGAAAAGTCACAAAATGGGGCAAAACTCACTTAACAAATGTTTCACTTAGCAACAGAAGTGTTGGAGTTCAATTATTGTCATAAGTCAAGGACTACTTGTACAGCGCTTTAACCATGGCAGCTGATGGATGCGGTAGGACAGGGGTAGGCCACCTTGGCTCTTTTATGATTCGTGGACTTCAACTCCCATAATTCCTGAGCCAGCATGGCTCAGCTTGGAAACCTCTCCCTTTCCCCTCAGCATGGCTGGCTCAGGAATTCTGGGAGTTGAAGTCCATGAGCCATAAAAGGGCCAAGTTTGAAGACCCCTGTCCTAGACAGTCACTTCTCTGAAATGATATAGGGCAGGGGTAGGCCACTTTGTCTTTTTTGTCTTTTTTCTGACTGGTGGACTTCAACTCCCAGAATTCCTGAGCCAGCCACACTGAGGGGAAAGGGAGAGGTTTCCAAACTGAGCCATGCTGGCTCTTGAATTCTGGGAGTTGAAGTCCACCAGTCATAAAAGAGCCAACGTGGCCTACCCCTGCAGTAGGAGAAACCAGATATTGAAAGAAAAGGCGGACAAAGGAGGGAGGGCTGCTTAAAATGTCTCTTGTCTTTCTCCGCAGATGACGTAAGAGAGTGTGAGGTTCATGAAGAACGTTCCTATTACGGACAAAATGCATTGGGGGAAAAATGCGAGATAGCTCCACAGACAAGCCACAGGGATAAAGGAGAAGTTGTAGAAATGCAGGGTGAAGGAGCCGAGTCCGAAGACCAGCAGAGGACAGAAAGAGAGGAGAGACAGAATGAATGTACAGAATGCATTATCCAAAATACCAGTAAATCCAGTAAAGAAGAAATGCCTCTGTTTTCCAAATACGGCAGAAGGTACCGCTACAGAGTAGAATTTGACGTGATCCATTCCAGGGAGGACTATGAAGAAGGTCCCAATTCAGAAGAAAAAATCCAGCATAATTCCTCAATTAGGCTACCGGAGGAAGCCGAAATAAGTCAGAAGAAGCACACATTCTTTGAAGGTGGGAAAGAAAGTTGCTGTCAGGATGAAGAACCTCACCGGTCCTCCGAATATGAGGAAAACATTCATTTTGCAGACTCGCGGAGCGGGATTCCAGCCTGTCCAGCGGAAGGTAGGCAGTATGAATGCTCTCAGTGTGGGAAATGCTTAAGTACCAGAAGAAACTTGAAACTACACCAGAGAAGCCACACGGGAGAAAAGCCCTACGAATGTTTCCAGTGTGGGAAATGCTTCAGCCAGGCCGGATGTTTGAAGACTCACCAAAGGTTTCATACCGGAGAGAAGCCCTACAAATGCGCTCAGTGCGGAAAATATTTCAGGCAGGCGGGCTACCTGAAGACCCACCAGAGGTTTCACACGGGAGAGAAGCCCTACAAATGCGCTCACTGCGATAAATACTTCAGCCAGTCAGGATACCTGAAGACCCACCAAAGGTTTCACACCGGGGAGAAACCCTACAACTGTTCACAGTGCGGGAAGGGCTTCAGTACGGGAATAAACTTGAAGAGGCATCAGATGATTCACACCGGAGAGAAACCCTACGAATGCGCTCAGTGTGGGAAGTGTTTTAGGCAAGCCGGAAACCTGAAGAGCCATCAAAGAACTCATACTGGAGAGAAAAACCTATAAATGTTCTTAGAATGGGAGACAATTCAGTTGACAACACAGTCCAACACAGCAGTTCCTTTCGGCAGTTCCAAGAAAGCTTCACACCCATTTGCACTATTTCAGGTGACCCTGAGGGCACAGATCAATCTCCAAGCGGCCTCAACGACTCTCAGAAAGAGTGCTCAGATGACTGCAAAGAATATAAATCCTTCCGTTCTCCACCATTCGGTCAGAACTGAGGAAGCTTCTTGGATGAGAAGCGAAACATCTTCAAGGAAAAACAAAGAAAGTCCAGTTGCTTTTTGAAAAAGCACCTTTGGGACAACAATGACCTGGATGACTGAGAATCTCCATGAACAAACTCGGTTGACATTTATAATTAAGAAAATAGGATAGACTTCATGGTGAACATGTGGAAGCATCTGGAAGTAACTGAAACTCGAGACCCATCATCAGAGATTCCATACCAGATTTGACAAACTAGTGTAGATAGTCTACTTACAATTATTTGAAATTAAAAGAACGTTGTTAGTATTGTATACATTCCTACATCAATCAGGCAGAGTTTCTTCAAAGCTTCAAAAAAAAAAAAAAAGTTTAGGAAGATGAGGCAGGACTTAAGCACTTTCCTTTGTTTAGGATTCTTCCTGGCGCCTTTTTAATTCAGGAATTTAAATTTGATTCTTACAGAAAATCATTGCCTGTTAAAATCAGTTTTCTAGACAGTCCTGGAAATGTTAGACTGGGGGAAAAAATTCAACATTTTTCTGTAATTAATCCAGCTATTTAGTCTACATTTTATTTTCCCTAACTTAAACATTGGTGCAAAGTGTTATTGTTGATATGTTATCGCAAAAGTTTGGAAATCAAAGGGTTTAAGTTTTAAATGGGGGTGGGTGGAATATTTAGAAGGGTGGGAAATTGCCACAACTGAATGAATACAGCAGTAAGGAGTTTTGAAGATCTGTATATCTCTTTATTCAAAATTTGTCACTATTTCTTAGCTATATTAACACCATTTTTCCTAAGAAGAAGAAAACTTTCGCATATATAAATATCTTTTTGGCTAAAAATATTGAGCATGAGTGTTTAAAATTTTTTGTATCTGTATTTTATCTTTTAGATATTCCCAAATAGATGTTTGTATACCTTAAAAGGGTATCCATTTATCTGTTAAGTATTAGCTTTGTTTTTCGGTTGCATTTATTTCCTACCTTTTGGACAATTCAGTACCCCTGTGTGTGTGTGTGTTTTAATTTTTGTTAGTCATTTCAATAAAAAAAATGCAGAAAGAATGATTCCAAAGAGGGCAAGTTTCAAATGTGCAAATGGAAATTCTGATCCCAGTTGGGATCATAGATTGAGAACTACCTGTAGCCCAGAGCAGGTAGAGGAGAGCAACTGTCTCATACGTGTTGCCTTGGTTACATGATGTGGCTGAGGCATTTTTCCTGCTGTGGACGATTTAAGATACAATAGTAGTGGCTACCAGCTCAACTGGCTTCAGAAAAATGATGATAATGATGATGATGATGATGATGATGATAATAATAATAATAATGATAATAATAGGCACTACCTTGACGTGGTTGTGGGGCTTGTGTACTCTGAGGAGATGAGAGCTATGCCAGAGGTTCAACCATACTGGACAGGTCTCATCAGAGGAGTCAGACAAAGAGTGTCTCTCCCATAAAAAATATGGTGAGACGTAAATTGCAGAATGCCATACCGGCTCGGACGTCGCCCGGGTTAACAAGGTCCGCGCTAGATATCGGAGTTCCTGGATATCTGGTGAAAAATGGGTTACAGGACTCAGGACTGTTGGCTGAGCAACCAGGGCCAGCAGCTGCAGAACTACTGGAAGAAAAGATGTTTACCCGTCGCAGATACACAGTGATTGAAAACAAAGAAATAATGATCTGTTACTACAGATCAAGTCCAACAAGAAGAGGATATCTAAAACGAATGCACCAGTTCTGGAAAGAACAACATCCAGAATCAGAAATAACAGAACAGAGACTAGCAGATCAACGCCGATTTATAACACGAAATAAAGTATTCACAGAAACAGAATTGGACGAACTGCAAAGGTTTACCCAGGGCAAAGAAATCAAAGCCTTACCAGAAGTAATTCAGAATGTAGAGGCAAACCAGGGGGAGTTGGCAGTGAAGAATCCAGCAGAGATATACAACTGTTCTCATTTGGAAACCAGGCACCTCTTCCTCAGGAAGAACAAAACCCTCTAACTAAAGAAATAAAAGAATTGAAACAAAGAATAACTGAGCATCTAGAACAGCACAAAAACAACAGAATAAGGCTACCTGCATTGAAGCTTGTTCCAAAGAAACAGCTAGCACAAGCATTAAAAGATGCAAATACTGCAATATCAAGTATAAGCACCAATTCACTGCAAGAAACAAACCAACTAATGTACAGCACAGCTGCAGTTATAACTGAATACCTGGGATGCAAAATCAACAAAGAAGAAAAACAAACAAACAGTGCACCAGAAAAATGGAAGGTTAGACTAGAAAATAAGATCAGCAAGTTAAGATCAATGCAAGCAAGCTAGAACAGATGAAAGAAAAGAAGCTGAAGAACAAGAAGACCAAAGAATACCTAATCAAGAAATACCACTTAGAAACAAGGAAGATCAAGGAAGCACTGGAAATAATAAAGCAACAAATAACAGCTATAGCCAGGAAAATCAGTAGATATGAAGCTCGAATTGCAAACTATAGGCAGAACCTCCAATTTCAATCCAATCAGAAACGTTTCTACCAATCCATCAATGGAGAAACTGCAAGGAATCAGTCAGTACCTGACAAGGAAGAAACAGTGCAGTTCTGGAAGCAGATATGGGATAACCCAAAGAAATACAACAAGGATGCGGCTTGGTTAAAAGAGGTGGATGCAAATAAAACAGAAGTTGAAATGAAAGAACTAGTAATAACAACAAAAATGGTAGAAAAAAGAGCAAAGAAAATCAAAAATTGGTCAGCACCAGGTGAAGATGAACTGCATGGGTTTTGGTTGAAACATCTAACTGTTATACACCCACTCATTGCCAAACAGTTCAACAATATACTACAAGGAGGAGAAATTGAAAAGTGGCTAACAACTGGGAAAACCTACCTAATAATGAAAAATCCAGCAAAAGGGGCAACACCAGGTAACTACAGGCCAATTACCTGCTTACCAACAACTTTCAAATTACTAACTGGTGTAGTAGCTGATGCAGTGCAACAGCATCTAGTTGAAAACAATCTCTTTCCACCTGAGCAGAAAGGAAACCGCCCCAATAGCAGAGGAACAAAAGATCAACTCCTAATAGACAAAATGATCTTGGAAAACTGCAAGAGAAGGAAGACCAACCTGAATGTGGCATGGATTGACTACAAAAAGGCATTTGACTCTCTGCCACATGATTGGATAATCAAGTGCCTAGAAATAACAGGAGTCAGTAGAAACATCAGAAAATTTGTGCAAAGATCGATGGCACAATGGAAGACACAGTTGCAGATCAATGGTGAGAGGCTGGGAGAGGTTAATATCAAGAGAGGAATATTTCAAGGAGATTCATTATCACCATTACTATTTGTTATTGCACTGTTTCCTCTGTCAACAATACTGAATAACTCAGGACATGGCTATCAAACATCAAAAACATCTGCCAGACTATCCCACCTCCTTTACATGGATGATCTGAAGCTGTATGGAAAAACATCATCTGAAATAGAATCGCTGCTCAACACTGTCCGTATATATAGCCAAGATATTGTAATGGAGTTTGGCTTGGACAAATGTGCCACACTTACTATCAAACAAGGAAAAATAGTGAAAACTGAAGGAATCAAGATGCCCCACGAAAATAACATTAAGAGTCTGGATGAGGAAGAGTACTACAAATACTTGGGTATCCTTCAAGCTGACAACATCAAGCACACTGAAGTCAAGAAAAAGATTAGAGGTGAATACATCAAGAGAGTGAAGAAGATCTTAAAGTCCAAACTCAATGGAGGAAATACCATAAAGGCAATCAACACCTGGGCAATCCCAGTCATTAGGTACACAGCTGGAATAGTGGACTGGACTCAAGCAGAACTAAAAGCAATGGATAGGCAGACCAGAAAAATAATGACAATGAATCATGCCCTTCATCCACGCAGTGACATTGATAGACTTTATCTACCAAGGCAAATAGGTGGGCGTGGAATGCTACAAGTACATCAGATGGTTGAAGAAGAAAAAATGGCTTTGGAAGAATATCTGAAGAACAATGATGAAGATGCACTGAAATTAGTATATCAGGAAGGCTTACTAACTACTGGAGAGACCAAACTGGCCTACAAGAAAGACCAAATGAAGAACAGAATAGAGGCATGGGAAGACAAAGCACTACATGGCCAATACATTAAAAAAATAGCTGGGAAAGCAGATAATAATAAAACCTGGCAATGGCTAAGAGCAGGAAAATTGAAGAAAGAGACCGAGGGACTAATTCTGGCTGCACAAGACCAAGCCTTAAGGACAAATGCATACAAAGTCAAAATTGAGAAGACAGCAACAGACAGTAAGTGCCGCCTATGCAAAGAAGCTGAAGAAACAGTGGACCACTTGGTAAGCTGTTGCAAGAAGATTGCACAGACTGATTACAAGCAGCGGCATGACAAAGTAGCAACAATGGTGCATTGGAAGATCTGCAAAAAATATCATTTGCCTGTAAGCAAAAACTGGTGGGATCATAAAATAGAGAAAGTCATAGAAAATGATAAAATTAAACTGCTCTGGGACTTCAGAATTCAAACAGACAAGCACCTGCAACATAACACCCCAGACTTAACAATTGTCGATAAGAAAGACAAAAAAGTCTGGATAGTGGACGTGGCAGTGCCTGGAGACAGCAGAATAGAAGAGAAAGAACTGGAGAAGATAACAAAATACAAAGACCTACAAATAGAAATAGAAAGACTGTGGCAAAAGCAAGCAAGGGTAGTACCAATAGTAATAGGCTCCTTGGGTGCAATCCCAAAACAACTGGAGCACCACTTGAACACCATTGGCATTGACAAATTCGCTATTAGTCAATTGCAAAAGGCGGCCTTATTAGGAACTGCTTCCATCCTGCGACGATATCTGTAATACCATCAAACATCCACATCTGCCTATCCCAGGTCCTGGGTAAGGACTCGATAGGTAGAC